CAGCAGGCAGAAGAGTTGCTTTGCTCTGCCAACAATCCTCAAGCAGCTACAGTACATGTCTCTGAGGTAAACAATACACACTGTACCCAGGCTAGGAAGGATCCTCTTGCATGGTACCAGAAAAACCACATGTTTGCACAGCATTTAAGCACTGTCACAAGATAAACTCATTTGGCTTTTACTGTTGACTGAAATATCATGTGATAGAAACAGCCACGATATGTTGGTTTTCACTCCACTGGAGATCCTTCTGTAAATTGACTTGGTTGGTTTTTGCTAGCTCCAGCCAAAAATTATTTTCATCCTTTTTAAACTTAAACTGTGGTTTTTACTTTCTTGAATTGTTTATGCTCTACTATCAGCTGAGTTTTGGAACGTGCCCCTAGAGGGCGCCAAAGACTTATAGGATGGTTCAAATGAGGAAAAAGAAAAGTGTGTGCAGAAAAACATGTAAACTAGCTAACCTGGATGAGAACGAATAGAGGGGTTTGTTCCGAGACAGTACGTATGATGATGATTATCTAAAGTTTGGATTTTTATAAATTGCTGTTGGATTAAAAAAAAAGTTACTTTTTGTCACAACTCAGCCAAACATAAACAGCCCGTGGTCTGGTCCATCAATCCAGAGCTTTTTGTTCTGTTACCTCTGATCTTGCTGCAAACATGTTCTTTAGATGTGATGATCTGGTCCATGTCAGTTCTAAGTCTTGCGTCCAGTTGAACTCTCTGGGCCTCACAGACGTCCACCATGGCGCCATACTGGGTGCTGGTTTGGGTCAACACCTGCTTGTAGACAGCATCTGATATCTGTGGGAGAGAGTGGTTTCAGAGAATCACAATCCCTATTTTCATTTTGTTCTTTTAACTCTTGACATCTGATAAACTCAACACCAACCAGCATCCAGTTCCTCTGCCTCTGCTGCATTTTCCCCTTCAGCCGTGGACCAATCATGTTCCTCAGCTCAGGTTGAAGCGTCTCCATCACCAGATTAGCAAGAATCTGTTTACACAACCAACAATTATGTTCTTTTTCATGATTACGTTTCTAACACTCTTGGCGGAGCGCTTCCTATATAATGGCTTTTGTAGTTGACACCATGACCTCAGTTACTGCGGTAACAGGAACTCATTTTTAAACAGAGGTGCAGTCAATGAAAACACCCCACTATAATCCTGAAAGTAAAGAAAAACAAAAATAAACCTGGAAAAAAAAATCTGTACCACCCTTTCCTGTGTGGTTGGATGGACACAGAGGGGTCATTGAGATGATACACAACTTCATTAGCAGGCAAAACTGCACTACACAACACTATACTACACTACACTTAACTAAACCACTACACAACACACTATACTACACAACACTCCACTAGATTACACTACGCAACACTATACTACATTATACTAAACTAAACAACACAACACACTATACTATACTAAACCACACTACACAACACTCCACTAAATTACACTACGCAACACTATACTACATTATACTAAACTACGCAACACACTATACTATACTAAACCACACTACACAACACTACACTAAATTACATTACACTATACTATACTACACTAAACTAAACTACACAACACACTGTACTACACAACACTACACTAAACTAGACTACACAGCACAACACACTGTACCACACAACACTCCACTAAATTACACTACACAACACTATACTACATTATACTAAACTACACAACACACTATACTATACTAAACCACACAACACTACACTAAATTACATTACACTATACTATACTACACTAAACTAACCTACACAACACACTAAACGACACTACATTGCACAACACTAAACTATACTACACTAAAGTACACTACACAACACGCAACACAACACTACATTTGACTAAAATACACTACACAACATGAAACTAAACTACACAACACTACAGTACTAACACTACATTACGTTATGCTGCACAACACACAACACTGTACTACAATACACACTATACACTAAACTGCACACTGCACTAAACACAGCGCTACAACACTTCACACTTCAACAAACTACACTATGCACAACACACTGCGCAACAACATACAACGTTACACCACATTACACTACACACATTCATTTTCATGTCTGTCTTCAGGTGGCCTTATCCAAAGCAATTACATCAAGGTTGTTGTTGTCTTGAAGTAACTGCTTCATTAATTAATTAATTTTTTTTTCATTACCACAGACTTAAGGATAGGGGAATTAGAGGTGGTGAAAAAACAGTGGCTGTGAACAAACACTGGTCGACTCTGGAGTCAGAGGAGCTCATTCAGAGGTGAAGCCCTCACCCAACAGTGTGAGAGGGAGGGGTGTCCATAAAGGACTTGTGTAGGTGCGTTCTTAATCTCAGGTGTAAGGAGTGGGTGTGTGCTCATGACGTAGGTGTCTAAATGTGTGTGTGAGTGTGTGTCTATGTGTGAGTCTTTAGGGACTTCCCCTGTAAATCTGAATCTCTTTTGGAGTTGGACCATTTCCAGGTTTTTTAGAAAAGGCCTTGTCGGATTTGAACCTTTAGATCAGTGACAGCTCCTGACCTGTGGCGGTGTTCCACACATCATCTCCCAGGTGCCGTAGTGTCCTTTTGTTTGTCTGTGTCGTCGAATGGCGTCAGTAAAAGCTGGTGTCTGGACGGTGCATTCATCCGGCAGACCTATAGGAGGCAGGAAAGAGCTAGGTCAGTCCTGGGGGTATTTGTGGTGGCTGTGGTCTCTGGATGTTGTTGGATTAGTCACATTGGAGAAAAGCAGAAGAATGAGAAGAATTGCCTATTTTCATTCCACTATCTGGTTTGGACTGGTCCCATAGAACTGTTTGCAGTTCCTTTATAACTGTTCTGCAGATACTATTGGTGTTGATTCTGGAAACTGTCTCAGGCTGAAGGTTAAAGTTAGACAAGAAGGATAAAGCCTGGGTTAGCAGTCATTTATAGGTCACATATTGAAGAGAGGTTAGTCCCTCTGCCTTACAGCAAAAAGGTCCGATGCCTGGTTGCTTCCAGTAGGAAGTGGTCTTCCTGTATAAAGTTTGCAAGTCCTCCTTAGTTGGACATATTTTTACACGTGATGATGAATAATCTGGACTTTGGACATTTCCAGGCCGTGAGTCACCTCTGTGTGTGTGTCTTGTGGTCACGTATCACAGTCGTGGATTCTCAGTCAAGATCACAATGCACTGTGTCATCCTCAGAAAGAGGAAGACAGTGACTCGTCTCACGATGGCAACTGCATGTTTAAACCTTTTTAGAACATTGGTTGCCTAGAAGGGTGCCGTCTCACGATGGCAACTGCATGTTTAATGGGACAACAGCGGTGGCTCAAAAAACCTTTTTAGAACCACTGCTAGGGGGCGTTCAAGAGTTCATTCCCGAATCAAAAACTAATACAGTGCATGGTGTGTCAATGAAGCAGATTACCGTATCTTGTGCAGTTTGGCTGAGTGTGCAGATATCACTTGAGCTCCCACATTCCCTCAGCTCTGGGGAGAGGAGAGCGGCACAAATAACTGCCTGTTGCTCCAAAAATTGTTCGATCATTTCGAACGCGCTATTCCATACTTATGTCTGTTTCAGTTGCAGTAAATTTTGGCATCTGTTTCCTGAAGACAGGGGTGGTGAAAGTCAGGTGACCTAAGCTCATCAATACATTACATGTCTATGTCTGGGTTTTGTTTTTGTTTTTTTACTTAAAGTCTTGCAGCCACATTTGTATTTGGGTTGTAATTAAAAAGAGAGGAGGGTCTCAGGGACTACTTGGACCACAACATCAGAACGTTTCTTCTTAAGGGAATATCTGTAGTGAAAACCAAAAGAACCCAGATGATGAGTTCAAGAGATGTGACAGATGGAGAACATGTGTCAGCAGAGCTCCAGTCACTTTTATCATTAGCAGTACCTACAGTACCCACTATGTAGTATGGAGATGCACAGCATGTGGTTCAGTATGTGTTTTTATGTCAATGGCTGCAACGACCTCTAAGACCGGAGGCGACAACAGTCTCTGTACCTGAGTGTCAGTGTGTGAGGATTATCAGTTTATTGTCTGTTCATGCACATGCACCAATGTGCATACACTGTGTGTGTCTGGTGTGTTGGTCCGATCAAGTTGTTTTGTTTTCGGATGCAAATCTGTGACTCAGAGAAGGCTGACAAAGACAGGAAATGACCATGGAGTCACAGAGAGCCAGACAGGAAGCTGTCGCCACTGATAACCTAAGTAAAAGTGGAAAACGTGGTGATGGGACAAAGTCCAACTTTTATAGTTTTGTTATCAGTTTTCCCTCATTGATTTGCTGAGAGGTTCTCAAGTTTACCTTTCACTAGAGAAGGAGAAAAACTGACTGATAATACAGCAAGAAAAAAAAAAAAAACTAAAACTGAACTCAAAGAGAGCTAATGTTTAGTGCAGTGTAATGTAAAGGTTTGACAGCAACACTGCAAAGTTTAGTTTAAGTATTTCTAAGTGAAAATGTATCCAAACTAACGAATAAAAATACCAAACAAAAGATATTTAGATGAAGCATAGCATAGCTTAGCTGACATACAGATAGCTGAGCTTATCTGAGATTCAAGTTTGTCAAAAAAAAAAAAAAAAATTGAACCTGCTAAAAATATTTCTCGGACAAAAATACCAAGTTTAGTCTGGAAACAGGAATAAAACGGAAGGTTCGTGTGGATCACGTGGAACTGACAGTGTGACTTGAACCAGAACATGTAATGCTGCACTCCAGGAATTAACGGTTTCAACATTCCAACCAGAGTAAAGTAGAAAGTGAAAGTTGTTATTCTGTTAATTCAGTTAATTTGAGGAGGTGAACCAGGAACTGGAAAATCAGGGTCTGGTCTAATGAAACCAGTGTCTTACTCTGTGGAGTTCACGGTTTTCCAGCTAGCAGGAAAAAGGAAAATACTCTCTGATCAAGTGTCGCAGCGTAAAAGCAGCCATCACACATTCTCCATGTGCCTGGACCGAAGCAGATCCAGACCCAGATTACAATTCCACCATGTGTGTGTGTGTGTGTGTGTGTGTACATGTGATAGTGTGCATTTGTATAAATAGCACATGTGGCATCGTTTACCACAGCCTTTTTATCTGAGGCATTTCCCTCTCTCTCTCTCCCCCCTCTGCACAGCTGAGGGAACGACTTTCCCAGGCCTTCAAATCCACAAACCCCTCTATGTGTGTGTGTGTGCGTGCGTGCGTGCCAAATGCTTTTTCAAGTCAGAAGTTGTAAAACTCATTTGCATATCAAATGCAACGCAAGGACACTGCAGCTTACGTGCTGCTGCTGCCGCTGCTGCTGCTGCCGTAGTTCATGAGTAGCTATCATCCATATGTTTCCACTGCAGATCTACATGATCCAGCTACACCTACTGGTGCAAAGAAATTGAAGGAAAAACATGTGACAAACATGGGACTTCAAAGACAGATCTGGGAAAAGGTCTTAGACCAGGCGTGGGCAAACTAGGGGCTGGATGCGTTCAGCGTTTTTCCTATAGATGGCGTAGAGAAGGCTAAAAGCATTGACTTTTACATGTCATTTATCTTAGTTCACACCAACACTCCATCTATCTGTTCCTGACCTGGGCCCCCTGTCAAATTTTAGGAGGAATTTTGGCCCACCAGTCAGAAAGTTTGCCCACGTCTGGCTTAGATCACGGCTGGGACTGAGATGCCTGACTGGCAGCTCCATCTCAAACATTCTTTATCCCTTAACGGACCGTTATGCTCCTCACTGTGACAGTGTTGTTGTCTCCAGTGAGCCCACCACGGCACATCTCACTTGTTCCAGGTTGTAAACATTGTCACCTTGTTTTTTCTCGCTCACTGAATTTGATTAAAAAGTAGTTGTTTTTTTTACAATGGCCGTCAAAGATACTGTATATATTTCCGTATTAATCTAGTTTTAACCAATCGACACTGTGACTATAGTTTTAGTCAGACTGTCAGTCGTAGACTGACTGACTGTCCTGATCTCAGTCAGGCTGCTCTGACACAAGACAGGCCGCTGACCTGAGGTTGACGCACCCACAAACACATGCTGGGAGTTGATGATGGGATGTTAGGATTCAGGTTCCCCACAATGTTTAATTTCACAAATTAATTATCACGTTCAATTGGAGGAATTTCCATAGATGAACTGTAAGAACTGCACAGGCGTCCACAGATTATATTAAGACCATATTTGTCTTCAGAGGGACAGGTTGGACGCAGTCATGCTCTTCTAGAGTCAGATTACCAGGCATATTTTTGCATGACTGTGATGATAGAGATGCAAAGCAGGCCCTCAAGTTTGATTGGACAAGGTTAAAACTCACAGAATTTAAATCTTCACTGACTGGCTGTGAATATTTAAGTTTGCCTGTGGCCACTTGGAGAACTGCTTTGCATGAAGCTAATAGTTGATTAGACAGAGCAGCTTTACCTCCAGCATGAACTGACCAGCGGGTTACAGAACATTGAGGTGAACCTTCCCACAGACATTAGCTGCTGTTACCTGCTATCGGCTAGCACACTTCCTGGCACTGAAGTCTTTAGTCTGACCACTGACTTGAACTGATGTCCCTTGTGTTTAGCTGAGACACAGCAGACATTTGTCCACGCCTGTCTTCCTGTCCACTGTCACTGAGGTCACCCCCCCCCCCTACTATTGAGAACCTGATAACATGTATATTTTTATCTGTATAAACCACTGTATGAGTTGCTGCCACCTAGTGACTGGAGGCTTGTTATCATTCAAGCATTACAGCAGTGGTACACTTGTGTCCAGTGTGCCATATTCCCCTGGAAGCCCCTCACTGCACCCCCTCAGGGGGACCCGTCCCACTATTTGAGAAGTACTGCTCTAATCTGATGAACGCTCTGCTGTTAATTGAACTTCCCTTAAACAGTGCAGCTACAGCAGCTCTAACAGCTTGTTCCTAAACGTCCAGTGAGTTAGAGGAAGTGCAGACAGAGGTCAGGGGTCAGGCTGTAAAACCATTTATCACCCTCAGGAGAAACGTTCTTCAGCCAGTTCTGCTTTTCCTCAAAACACCAACCAGATGGAGGTGAGACCGGGCGCGTCCACGCTGGCCCGTGAACCTCCGCAGTCGACCAGGCACCGCTGCAGCGACAGTGGAGGAGCAACACGGCCTTCATTGTGTGTGTGTGTGTGTGTGTGTGTGTGTGTGTTACGACACACTCCTGCAGTGTAGCCAGGCAGCTGGAATGCACAGCAGCTACATGAGTGTTACTGAGCGTGCCCAGACAAGTCAGATTGAGTGGGTAAAAGAAATGCGAGTTTTAATCCCAACGCAGGAGTTTGTCTTAAGACCAAAAAATGAAATTGTTGTTTTCTCACACCAAACTGTTCTACAACACCTTAAAGTTACAAATAAAAACCGTTCAAAGTTTAGAGAGTTTTAGGGCCTGCTGTGTAGCTAGCTGATCTGTGGGGAAGCTGTAGTGGTAACTTTTAGCTACTTCTTCATTTAGTTAAATTGGCCAATCTTTGTTGTCTAGTTATTGCGGAATGTTTTGACTAAACAGAAATATTCATCATTTCCATGCTAGAGGTTCTGCCAAATGTAGCTATTTTATTGTTTGCTAACTAAACTCTTTCTCTAGATTTTTAAAAAGCTTGGGTTCTGGCCTTTTCTTCTGATGCTTTCTTGTCAAATATCAAAGTTTTCTTTTAGCTGTTCTTTAATGTTTTTGTTTCACTTGAGTTCTTCTCCTGTGTTATGTGGAAGTGAACGTCATTCAAAGATGAAAAGCTCTTGGTTGCTCTTGCTAGCTCTTGGTCATTTTAGGTTCAAAGTCAGGGATTGTGAAGGTCCTTTCCCAGAGTTCCAGAGTCTTTGTGACACAGTTGGAGTCTTTTCAATAATTAACGATCGGGATCCACAGAAAACACGGGCCGTGACTAAAAGCCTCATCCAGATCTTTTCAACGTCTTCTGAGTATGTGCACCATAAATCCAGAGCCAGTCTTTGGAGGTTTCAATCTGTCTGTGAATTAGCCTTCAGCTCTGAATGTGTGCAGCGCCGCGCCACGATCTGGTCCTGTGTGAAACCAGGGTTGAATCTGGTTGAGCAGCTTTTTGTGCAGTGCGGTCACGCTTGATTCAAATCCCTGGCATGAATTTTTTTTAGACAAGGACGTCACAGTTTCTTCAGTGTCTGAGTGATGTGTCACGTCTTGACGACGACAATATGTCGACGATGTGTTATTATCCTCACCACGACATAAAGTACAGTTTACAGATTAATCTGCAGATTCACCCGAGGCGGCAGGAGCCGAACAGCATTCTGTGCAAACACACACAGACACACACCTATGTGTTTGAATTAGGGTCAGTCAAGGTGAGGGTTTAGAACTCTCTGTCTGTTAATGGTGTTGAAAATGTCTGTGTTCTTTCCCCTGAAGCTTCAAGCTGTGAGCAAACAGAAGTTAGCAACCGCGGGCTAAACTTAGGCTTAACTTCAAGAGGTGTGTGTGTGGATACTTAAAGTTCCTATGAAATTGCTTTGCATTTTGCTTTGGGTTAAAAAGTCAAAAGAAAAATGGTTTAAATGTAAACTAGTGTAAACTTTAAAAAAAACAAACAACACAAATTGACTTTCCATTGTCCAAACTAGTGTAAACTTTAAAAAAAACAACACAAATTGACTTTCCATTCATCATCAGACTTCAGACATCAGATCATCAGACTATACTTTCTTCACATAAAACTGACGTTTCAGTCACGTCACAATGTTAGGAAAATGTTTAACCTTCACACTAATGTTAACCTGCACTAGGTTGTTTATGTGATTAACGAGCTGATGACATCACATGTCACTAAATATATGTCTGTTACCAACATCAGAGTTTAACACAAGTGGAAAAAAAAAACACCAGTAGGGGTACAATACACTCAACTCACGATTTGATACACAATTACTTTTGTTTTTGTTCACAATATGATTTTATCATGATTTTTTTTTAAGAAAATGAGTTCAAATTATGACCAAATACAATGATAAACTGAAATTGTTATCGTTAAGTAACAGGAAAAAAAAGAAAATCCACATTTCTTAACAGAAACACTGCCCATCACCATTTATCTCCTCTTATTAAAAGTCAAACTGGTCTGGTCTGATTCACCTCCCAACTCTCAATATACTAAACAACAGGATAGAAAAACCAATAACTGGAAAGAGTTTCTTTCTTTACAGAAACACTGTTTGCGTCTGTGGAAGAAGTTCTTCCCACGTTCTCTTTGAACACCTGAACATCACTTAGGCGTCACTTAGGCTACGTTCTCTTTGAACACCTGAACGTCACTGAATCGCTACGTACTGATGTAACATCTTGGTTCAATAGCGAGTCACAGCCAACCGTTTTAAAGGGGATGCCACCACCTACTGTATTAGAGTGTGTAGTCTCATGGTATGACCACTGACTTTTGGAGATAACTAGGCTTCTCCTTATGTGGTTTGTTACGATTTAATCTTATTCAAATCGACATGAGTCGTCACGCATTTGTATTGATTTTTCATTGATTCACGATGCATCGTTACATCCCTGCACACCAGTCCTCACGCCACACTGTTTTCAGGTTTAACCACACCATAATGAAATGACACACACACACACACATTCTTACCTGCTTTGAACCCTGCGGCTTTAACAATGATGCGGCTAATTTATGGATTTTTACAGGCTTACGAAGTTCATACAACTAGAGATCAATGACATTTTTGGTATGCTACTGTGTGTTATACTAGTAGTGTTTGTCTGTGTGTTGGTTATATAGGAGCTGTTAAAACACTGTTTATGTACTGTTGCCCAACTTCCCTGTTTCTGTTTACCTCTGCTGTGGACAAGCACAAAGTGAAGGGAGTTAGCCCCGGAGCTAATGTTAGCTTCAGCCCCGGAGCTAATGTTAGCTTCAGCCCCGGAGCTAATGTTAGCTTCAGCCCTGGAGCAGATCACTAAGTCTCCCCTGTTCATTCCAACTACTAGTACTTTTTTTAATAGTGGGTGCGGCTTATATTCAGGTACACTCAATGGTCTGGAAATGACGGTAAAAAAAGACCCTACGTACCGTTGTTGCAGTGTCGGACACAGTCCTGCAGCACAGCGTGCCACTTCTTCTGCTCCTTCTCCGTCATGACGCAGAAGTAGTGGTGACGGGCGTACGGGTGCCACAAGATGAGCGGGAACTCGGTTGCGCACTTGATAAATGGGTTGTTTCCCACTTTGGCCTTGATACCTACAAGAAGTCACATGGCAGGGTGCATTTGGGTGAAAAATTGCGTTTTGTTTCTCAGTTCCCTGGAGATGTGACTCTGGTCTTCACCTGGCAGACTGGTGTTCATCAGCTCTATGTAGTCCTCTAGGGACGTGAGGGCCCTGTACCCAGCACAGTTGATGGACACCTTAGGGTGAAGACCACGTTCCTGTGCCTGTCAGACAGAAATACCAACTTAGCGCAAGCACTGAATCATAATTATAAAAATCTATAGTCCACTTAGGTTTGTTTGGATCGTTTATGTGCTGTTTGTGATCAGATGTGATATGAAATTCAACAAACCAACGTACTGTCTTGTTCTCGTACAGGTTTATGGTGTAGCTGTTTGGCACCGACACAAAGCGGCTCCTCCACTTCCTGTTCTCCTCCAGGTACTGGAACAGATTCCCTGAGAAAATAGACCGACCCGCCAGAGGATCCTGGGGAAAACAGTGCAGACTGTGGGTCAGGAACAACAACAACTCGAACAACAACAACTTGAACCACATTCCTGCCAAGAAAACAACGTAAGTTCCGGATGAAGTCCTTTCTACAGTCACAGATGAATCAGTTCTGGGGTAAATCTATTGACCTCTGACATTTCAGCGTGTTGAGTTTATGATGCTGAGCTTTTGAGCTGTATGCCAATGTGTCCCTGGGTTCATATGGGAAGCATTTCCTCAGAAATATGAAACTGAATCAGACCTGGATGATCTGATGAATTGAGCAGCAGAGGGTTAGCATCCATCGTCCCACTGGTCAGTTGTTGGACAAAGTCGGTGTAAAGTGGGCTTGATGTTCCTTTATTCTGGGCTTTTTGTCAGTTTTCACCTTAAAAATCACTAGAATCTATTTGCAGAGTGGACGCAGCTGCATGAGTTCCTGTTGGAATTTTGTACCCTCACGTTCAGAAGTGAGGAAATAGTTGAAGTTGTTGAGAAGTCATGTCAGCGCAGCAGGTCACTGAGCAGGAAAATTGTTATGTTCAGGTGGAATCAGGACAAAAGGCCCGTGACTGTCAGAGATACTAATACTGACAGTGACCCCCGACCCCACCGCCAAGTAGAAAATTGATCAACAGTGGAAAGAAGGGGTTTTTTCTGGTGTGAAATGCGTTTTAATTTTCTCTCCAGGACCAGGACGAAACCTACGACCCTCAGTTCAAACAGACATGAAGAGGAACTGAGCGTCCACTGGTTAGACTGGTCAGACATCAAGTCATGAATAAGTTCATTCATCTTCACAGTTCACGTGTATGATACCATCAGGCTCAGCTGAACAAAGACTGTGTTGATGCTCGTCGGTGTGACGAAATCGGTCAGACACAGAACACAAGTGAAAAAAAAAAATCCCTCTTCATATTTAAACTGATGTTTAGAAGTAGAGGCGAGATAGTAATTATATTATTTACATATATATTTACCCTTTACAAACCTCCCCCATACTGTTATCAACCCTCTCTAGACTCTCTAGACTACTACCCTCCCTAGACTGTATTACCCATTCCTACTCAATTAAATGCACAGTAGAGTTATATAATGGACACAATAGACACACATATTGCGTAAATAAATTAAATACACGAGGTGGCGGAGGTCAGTGCTCAGCTGCAGGAGGGAAAACATGGGAGTGGCGAAGCAGGTGCAGCCCTGGCAACAGGTGAGCACAATTAGATTAATCAAGCCTCTCCTTATATCAGTAGGAGCCGGGACCAAGGAGAGAGGAGAGTGAACAGAGGAGTGAAAACTGGTCAAGATGGACGGACCGTACAACTAAACAGATCAAATGCCACATTTTGTCAACAGAGTTCCACAAATTCATTCAGTAATTAAAGATGATTAAGGTTAATTACAGATTGTTGTTGATGTTTGTTTTTTTTCTTTTTTTTTTCCTTTGGTAATTATAACTCTTACCTTCCTGTGCAGCAGCTGAGACTGCGGTCCTCCTCCTCCTTCGATCTCGTAGCGGACACTGTTGAAGAGGGCGACGGCGTACTGCTGCTCATACATCTCCCCAAAATCTTTCATCATGTCATTGGTGCGGCCTGAGGAAAGGTCAGACAGAGGTCAGTGGACTTATGGACATATTACATTTAATGTAATTGTATGGGCTATTTACTGACTCACACCAAAGTGCATGGAGGAAATCACAGATTTGATTTGATTCACAACAACTTTGCCTTTTGTGTCAAATATCCCTGTTTAATAAGATGCTGTTTATAGTGATTTTTATTTATTATTTATTGACTCCCATCTATCCAATGATTAACCTAACCCAGTAAGTTTAAACCTTTATAAAATATTTAAATATTTTTTCATTAAGTGTTCCATTTGAAATAATGATTATAAAAAACAATTAGCTGCAGTCCCAGTAAAGAGCTAGGGTTTAATTGTTTTCCCACAAGTTTCCATTGGAGGCTTCTCTTAAAATAGTACTAAAAACAAGCACACAGGAAGAACTGTTCCCACAATCCCTAGCTGCTGGGAGAAAAAAAAAAACACACACTTTGCTATGCTTGTTAGCCAATCAGAGTGGTGTGTGTAGCGCACGGGTCAGCGGCAGACTCTGTTGACTGGGATGTGTTTTTGGAAGAGATGACACAGGAAGCTGAGAGTGGAGTGGCAGTAGAGAGCAGGAAGGAAACAACTGACAGGATGGGAAAGACAGACGGGAAAGTGGAGGAGGATCAGTCCAGGACACCGGAGCCACATGTTTGACATCAGACGGCAGTTCATTTATTAATGAATTCATGGAATATTACGGGATAACGAAACTCATACTGCTAGCGATCAATGACTTTTCTAGTAGTGTGTTATACTAGTAGCGTACGTCTGTTTGTGAATGGCCGTTTGTCTATATGTGTGTATCCCATGTTACAACGTGGACACCCGCAGTTATATAGAGAAGTGCGGCCTGTATACTGTATGTACAGTTATTTTTTTTCTTTTTAAATTTAGTGGGTGCAGCTTATATTCAGGTGCACTAAATAGTCCGGAAATTACGGTACATAATAATACTATATTAGCTTCTATTAGTTTATTATAGATAGTGTTGTATTATAAAAGGGAGGAAGTAATGAAGCTATTATAAATGTAACTGCTATTAGCATCTGCTGTGTTGTTACTACTCTCAGCAGTACCCCCGCCCCCCCGTGTTTGGTTTTCCACCATATAAAGCCAGGGCTGGGGAGCAGACGCTTCTCTCTGAACCTCAACACTCTCGGTATTTTTCCACTGGGGCTGATGTTTTGCCAAAGTCAGCAAACTGGCGCACTGGACCTAGAAGGCCCTGCAGTGCATTTGGAAATTGGAATTTTGGGAAACAAAGACCACATCATAAAACATAGGCCCCGGCCTCGTGCCCAACCTACACGTCCAACAATTCTCCCTGTAAATGCCTGACTCTGCACTTTTGGCTGTTTGTTTGGAGCGTTCTGTTTATAGATGTGGATGATTATGTCAAGTGTTAGGTCGCACGATGTGATGATGATGATGATGATGATGAGTTATATTTATAGGTGAGGGCGTTTGTTGTCATTAGGCACTGACGCCGTTGTTCTTCCTCCTCAGTCGTGACACAAATCCAATCTGGTCCTGCTCAGTTTGGCGATGTTTCCCCTGTTTGTGCAGTGTGTGAATGTTCCGACGTGACGTTTATTTATACATATCTGAAGGTGTGTTTTCTTTAATGAGGATCTTTGTGGGTGAGCACACACTTGTAATTTGCCCGTGCGTGGGTGTGTACATGTTGTGTCATTGTTGTGTGGGAGGAAATCATTCTTGGAGAATGTGCTTCAGCTGCACGGCTGAAGAAATCACTTCACAGGGAGGAACACACTCCAAACAAGACTCCTAGTAAGGAAATGCTGAGTAGACTCACACACACTCACACACACACACACATTGTCTGGGACACGTTAGTTCTTCCTCAAGTAGACACAGAACGAAGGGTGTGTGTGAGAACCAGACTCTGGTTCCAGCTTCTGGTCTCTGACATGTTGGTACCTGCTTCAGCTCTGCAGCTTCACCTTCTTATCATCTCTTCTTTCAAATGGTAACGTTCACAACACCAGATCATGAGATACTGTATGGGAAGTTGATGCAGAGAGAGCTGTCTGCTCGTTTGAAGTTTTGTCCTTTAGTAATATGTCTTAAACACATTACTAAGACGTTTCACTGTGACAGGTTTTCATGGACACGTGGACCTTTAGATCCTCCATTTTCTTTACCCGTACCTGACTGCTGGACCGCTAACGCCTCAATCCACAGCTAATCATAGCTGTGCCTTTGGCATAGCGCTAACTGAACAGCTGCTATATGATGTAAACACCTGAGGAACTAGAAGTGTGTTGTCATCTGTCATCTGTAACAACACTAGGGGGAGACAGTCAGCGAGGTCCTACGACTGACCAATGACAGACGTGCAGGTTTATTCTTCACTCTAGAACTCCTTTTCCTGACTCTGACTCTGGATTAGATGACTAAAACATCAGTAATCCTTACATTTCCGGGACCATTTCTCAGTATCCTGAGCCGTGATGCAGTTATGAGACCGCAGGGTTTGAGGGTGGATTCACTTCTGCTCGGGTGTTTGTTTAACCAAACCTGAAGTGTTCACTCCCCCAGTGAGGTATTTGGTAGTTGGTGTGAACTGGACCAAAGTTTTTCTGTCTGTCTCTTCACCCTGACTCCAGACCTTGTAAAGGCTGTGGCTTGACAGAATGTCTTCATTCAAATCATTTTAAAGCAGGAGTGTCAAACGTACGGTCCGCGGGTCAAAACCGGCCCGCTTGATGAATTTTTGAAATAAAAAATATTTTTTGGAAAAGTATTATTATTTCATTAAATGTGAATAATAATAAATATCTAATATACTTCTTTGAATGAAAACAAGGGGGAAAAAACATTGACTTATTGTATTTTATAATTCATTATGAGGTGATTGTATGAAATGAGTTTGACACCCCTGTTTTAGAGGACCTGTCAACTGTGTTTCTACTTATGGAGAGGACCTGTCAACTGTGTTTCTACTTCTACCTATACCTCTGATAAACACACAGCTTCTGTGTAAACTATCCGGCTGTAGTTTTTACCACTGAGTCCACTGAAAGACTCTACAACAGCCCTGACGGGTGTTAATGCTGATGTTATAACCCCCCCTGTCAATGACGTATGTGGAGAGGAATGAATAAAGGCCCTGAGGGATTGATGTGTTAGCTAACAATGCACTTCACTAGATAATGACACCTGAGCTGGCATCAGGCCTGGCTGAACACTCTCAGTGTTCTTTGGATACGGACTGTAAACTTTTCTGTTGCCATTCTCTGATTCATACTGTTTGCTTTTTTTTACAAACACACGAAGGAGAGAAAGACGACAAGGAAAAGTAGAAGAACTAGTACAAGTTAGAACTAGTAGCATTTGGGTATTATTGCACTTGTGGTTTTATTTATTTGAATGCAGTAGTCCTTCCTGTCATAATGCCACTTATTTACATATATGAACCGGTGGCTGGGGTCGGTAGAAACACCAGGGGGAAAAATGTCTTGTCCAAAGACATAGAGTTATGTCCAGACAAAGAACAGTTCCAGTTGTGACCACGTGGATTTTGGATACTGGAAGGAGGATGTTGGAGACAGATTAAAGTTGCTGTTGGACGAAAACCCGGAAAGATTCCACACGTAGGAAAAATGTGTGTCTGTTGAAGCTAATGGGAAACGATGGCGTCCAGACTGTGAGGATCCTTGACGTAGAGAGAGGCCGCGATTCATCTGCACTTGGCATGGAAATGCCAATTTCAGCTTCCACCCAACCTAACGTGCAATGTAGCGTTAATACCACAGGGCTGCACAGTGGGAGGCGGGAGCAACATCAGACCTAAATAGCAGTCTGTTCAAACACGGTTCCCTCTGGAAACCTACTTATTATCTCCTAGAAAATAGGCTGCTGGGATGCAGCGATCTGAGCGTGGAGAGGAGCAACAATGTTGTCCAGTACAAGTGTGTGTATGTGAGTGTGGCGAGGGGGGATGGGGGGGGTTTAGTCACTTTTTATACACAAATGCTGCATGACTCTCTGCCTCGGGGAGGAGAGGAGACTGAGGGACAGGAGACCATTCCACCATTCCTTGAGCTCAGGGTCAAGAAGCTCAGGAATGTTGGAGAAGTAAAAGACAAAACTTAGTGCAGCTCAATGTGACGCAGGAATAATGCAAATATATACTATATACTATATATATATATATATATATATATATATATATATATATATATTCTACTTAGGTCTGAGGAGCAACAAGTTCAACCTCAACCGGGTTTGCTAAATGTGATGTAATCTCTGGAACCTAACTGAAGGATATTCTCTATACAAATGTCACTGTATGCAGATGATGCATGATGATAAGATGATGATATATGGGGACGTCAACAAAGATAAAGACAAACAAACAAATCTTCACTTGTGAAAACATCAGATCTCCTCTCCTCCATCTCAGTCTGCTCTCTTCTTCAGTGGTGTCCCCATCTACAGAGAAGGAATTCTCTGTAGAATTCTGGAGGATGACCTTTGACACCAGGACACAACCTGGTCCTTTGTCCGGTCTAAGGACCGACGGTCTCAGGTGGTTCTAGATCAAAACCTGTTGTTGAGCTTCAGTCGTTTGAACAGGTTTCCATTCCAGTTTGATTAAAAATGTGATGTTGGATCAGATTTGAAAATGATTCATTTTGTATTGAATCAGTGGCTCAAGGCTCATGGGGAACACAGTGATGATGAGCTGTTGACACTTTAACTCAAACTAGAAACATGATCTGTTCCATGTAGTACTGATTTTAAGAACCTATGCACCCCTTACAAAAACATAAGCATTTTCTCATAAGTTCTTCTTTTTCTCTTCAAGACCGGTGTCTAATATAGTGTGTGCAGTAGAACAACACCACTGTGTTTCCCAACAACACTAACCAAGGCGTCATTTGTCTGAGACATTTAATCTACTACCACGATGACCACGTTATTACTGCTTCATCAGCACTCTATTTCTGTTGTCACCAGACTCACTTGTTCAACTCTTTCACCCTGGTACCGGCAGCGTCAGTCCCGAAACCTCCTGCTCTAACCTTTAATTTTCTCTCATCACCTTGTCATTTATTTCATTTTCCACCAAAGATCACCCAACTACAGCAGATCCTAACTGAGTCACAGGTCTTGGGGAAAAGGTTCTGAAGTTAATTCGGTTTCAGTGACACCTGGAAATCACAGAGGACTTTCACAGAAGCTAACCCAATCAGGAATGGTCTAGCCTGGAATAAACCTGGAACAGAAGTCAATCTAGACCCATATCTAGACCGGATGGTCTCCTGCTGTTTTCAACAAGTCTAAGTGAGAGAAGCAACCACCGATCAGACATGAGACTGTCCAGAGCCGGTGTACCAGAGATCTGTGATCAATGTGTTGGACTTTCTCTCTTCTGCCCACCGTGAAGATGTAAACAGCACATTTGTCAGCAGTCAACTTTCATTCCCCACACTCTCGGCCTTGAGCTGTTTGGAACTACGTTTGTAAAACTGAAATCCTTCAAATGAACTCAGACAACAGCTGGTTGTTGTCACTGTCCCGGATCAGAGTAAAAGATCCACTGCAATTACGTCACACCATGTCTGAACTTCTACCTGAGGTAAAGCTCTATGTGTTTTATCTTGTGTTTTACATTGTTAAGCCACTTTTCCAGTCTTCAGAGAAATTTCTGACTTTCTTTGATTAAGTCCCAGATGGAAACTTCTAGCTACGACCCAAAACTACCCCGACACACCCCTGTTCTCAGGTACGACTAGAGAACAAGTTATGAAAGTTTCCTCTCCATGTACAGTACCTGAGACAAACCCAACACCATCACAGCTTTGTGTTTTGAACCCCTTTTTTTGGACCACTTTTGAGATAAAAACCGATCCAGAAGGTCAGACTTGAATAAAAACAACTTCCAACATTCCAAGCTCAGACACTCCTTTCTTACCTGTAATCATCTCCCGCCTGTTCTCATCCAGGTGAGAGGAAACCACGTCCCCCATGGCTCCAGCTGCTGTAGACCGTTCTCCTTATTCCGGGTAGAATTTGAGTCTTTGGTGGTGAAACTCCCAGCAGTTTCAAAAATCAAGGCTGAGCGTCTGGAGAGGGAAAAATGTACCACTGTGCTGCTGAGAGCAGTACACACTCTGGCGGAGATCCAGGAGCAGCAGGAGAACACTGGCGTGGTTCACACACACACACACACACACACACAGACTGTGGTAGGAAAAAGGAAGGACACTCCCTCTGAGAGTCATCACTGGTCCAACGTGTTCAGTCGGCCCTGCTGAAGGTGTGGCCTCATCCAGGAGCTGAGAGAATAACAGCTTATTAGATTTGCAAAGTGACAAAGTGCTGAGCGGAGATTAGGGAAACAGTCTGAACCATGGAAGCTTGGTTTCACCAAAAAACGCTCCACTTAAATCAATCTACAGTGTCTGAGCCCGTAGAGAGAGAACATTTTTGATGATTTAACACAGCAGCTGCCTGTCAACTGTATCTCATTTATCATTTTGGAATCCAAACGAAACATTCAGACGCTGAGGTCACAATGGAACGTATGTCAACGAAAGTATGAACTTCACCGACGGCGGCAGCAGTTGACCAACAACTGTGGTTCAGTTCTGTAAAAGCACCGAGCTACAGTGAACAGTTAACAAAGTGAGTCACATTTCAGTTTCCTGTTGGAAAAGACTGCCTGGAGGACAGACACTGGTTTTCTTATGTGCCCAGCTGCTTTTGGATTTAATGTTACTTTACTAAGTAAGTCAATTTCAATGGAAAGAATGTTTTTTTTTTAAAAAAAAAGTTCCAATCACATACCACGTAAGCAAATAAAACATACAAGGACAAGAGAAAAACATACTGCAGCAAATGAGTTACAGATAAGAAGTTCCTCTTCTCTGTGTGTCATGGAGGAAGGAATAATAAAAGTAACACACATAAAAACTCACACAAATTGTGAGTTTGAACATAGTGTCATATCTTTCCTTTGTGATTAATCAGAAAAGTTTTTTCAGCAATAAAATAAAATACCCATGTAATTTTAATGACCTCAGATAATTAAATAAAAACGCCTTCACTATTCAAACAACAGCACATTTGAGTGCCTTCACTTCTACGGGTACTGTTTGTGTTTACGTGTGCTCATATTTAGGTATTAGTATTGGCTGACATGTTTTACTGATAAATGCTGCCCCCGTGTGGAGAGATGCATAGTTAAACACGTTACAGTTCAGGTACCCTAAAAAATAAACTGTGGTTGTCAGTGACGCCGTCGTTCTTTTTGCTTCGGTTCCAGCTACTGCTGCTGTTTCTTTTATTAAAGATGTCACTGCGGTTCTGGTTGTTGACGTTTGGCGGGTTTGTGTGTCGTTTTTACTCCTTACTTCTCCATTTTATTACTGTTGTTGCTGCTGCTACGTCACCTGCTAATATGACTGGCGTTGTTTACTGGCGTTATTACTGGTGTTGTTTATTCTGTTCTGCTGGTTGTCGTTCTACGCTGTAGCGGTGAATAAATCCGTTCGTGTGACCGTTCCTACTGTAACTAATGAGCTTGCTAGTCAGTTGCTTTTACTGGTTTTCCTGTTACTTATGACAGTTTCACTGTGTATGTGTGTGTGTATAAATTGCAGTTAAGCTAAATTACTATTTTTTTTCATAAAAAAGAGAGGTTTGAGAGAAATGCTCGTTTTCTTCAGCCATTTTGGGCTCAGCTAACTGCTAGCATTGTTGAAGTTGTACTAGATTACAGGTATTTCTGTGTCATTGTTGGTGTTTAATCCCGTTTCTCTCCCTGATGTTCCTTTCATTTAGATCATGTGTGTCAAACTAATATCCACCAGGGGGCCACATCATACATCATGTATTATGTTTGTACATCATTTAAACATAATACATGTTTCTGCAATTTATTATTATTTATTCAAGGTACAAATATTGTTCATTGCTGTGTAATAAAAAAAACACACAATTTCTCAGGTTAAGAAACTCTGCTGCAAATGCCTTTTACACACAGCCACACAGAACAACTTGATGGCCCTCATTTGGCCCCCGGACCTTGAGTTTGACACATGTGATTTAGAGCTTTCGGTGAAAATGAGAGGCTGCTGCAGCCAAACCGTCTGCATCCACCAATGAGATGAGGATGTGGAGGATACGCAGTGACGTCAGCCACGGGAGGCTAAGATGTGAGTGTGTGTGTGTGTGTGTGTGTGAAAGAGAGAGATAGAGAAAAGGGGAGGGAGAGAGAAAGACGGGAAGAGGGAGAGATCAGTCGGTCCAGACCTCAGCAGCATCATGGCTCCTATCGGATTAAAGGCGGTGGTCGGAGAAAGTAAGACAAATCTTTCCATTTATTCAACCTTTCAACGCATACACCTGTGGTTTTACTGTGTGCGAGCTGTAATTCTGCTGCACAATCAGAACGATGATGACGGTGATGGTGGTAGTGATGATGAAGGTGCAGCTCCGCTGTTTAAATCCCAGTGAGGACTAAAAAAACCTGCACAGACGGGTTCGTTTGCGCGGATCCTGTGGTGCGGATGCGCAGTGTGAAGCTGCGGTGATGCGACAGAAACAGCGGGAGGAGGCGAGCGAACGCAAACACGTTAACTACCCGACCGTCTGTTCATCCATCTATCCATCCATCCACCCCACAGTTATCTCTTTTTCTGCTTTTTTTTTTTGCACCAGTGTCATCAAATCATCTCGACACTTGTCATTTGGTAACACACTGATCAGATCAGAAAAAAAACGAGGAAGAAGAGGATCCCAGGTTAGAGGTTGGAGGAGAGCCTCGCCCCCATGAACGGGCCTGAAACCGCAACACCCTTCCTCCTCTTCCTCCTCCTCCTCCTCTTCCTCTTCCCCTCCTCCTGCTCTCCTCCTCCACCAGTGGCTCTGCGCTCTTCTGCCTGCGCACTAATGGCGGATTGCGTTCACTGTCCAGGCCCAGCAAGTTGCAAGAAAATCCGCATAATCTGGGCTCAGTCAAAGCCTCCCCTCTCCCCCTCCTTCTCCTTCATCATCATCAATCTTCTAAAATGTCATCATCAATTATTGGCTTTAGTCCTGATTTGTGTGTGTGTGTGAGAGAGAGAGAGAGATTGCATGTGTGAGTGTGTGTGTGCGTGAACGTGCACTGCAGTTTACCATCTGATTTTGTCACTGGCTCAGGCTCCACCTTAACGTGTTATCACTGTTTTGCCAGACATGGTAGTTAGTCCTACTGTGGAACCATAACCTTGTCTTGCTGAGTGTGAGTTCTCCAGGCTATGTGTGTGTGTGTGTGTGTGTGTGTGTGTTGACTGTTGTGGTTGGACAAATGAATGGGTGAAGGTTCTGTCCAGTGCTGCTGGGGTCAGCAGCGTACATTTGTTCCTGTTGTTGATGCTGTCAGTCCAGATCTACACAGTAAATCTGTCTGCACTAAGCTCGGCCACTGTCGTTCTGCATGCTAAGCTCTCCAGGGCTAAACCCCCCGTCAGCCTGTTAATACCACCGTGTGCTGTATTGTCTATGTTCATCTGCAGAGGCAGATTTGTTTTTTAACGGCGGTCAAAGCCTTCATCTAACTTTCCTTTTTTTTTTTTTTCTAGGTTTTTTTTTATGATAAGCAATGATTTCTTTTTCTCTCAGTGGCTAACATTAGGATCCTCCCTCTATGCAGCTACAAAACCACTGCTATCATAGTAGCTGCTATATAGCCTATGTCACTAAAAATGACTCTCTCTAAAAGAGTGTCTGCTGAGCGGTCACCCCTTGGATGATGACTCAGCATTTGCAGCAGCAGGTACTGGTTGCTGTTTGGCGTTTCTGAATTTTGTTGAATCACAGGACATCAAATTCTCATTGAAGTTATAAGAGGCTTGAGATGTAACACCTGATGTCTCCACCAGGTGATCCCTGCTGCTGCTGCAGGCTCAGATTCACCTGACAAATGAGTCTAAAACAGAAACAGCCATCAGATCAGAGTCACTGCAGTCACGTCCACAGAAATGTCTGTTCAGTTCCATTTCTATCACTCAATACCAGTATGTTTTTAATCCAGTACTCGTTTCCAGTACTTCCAAGAAACTCTGAGTTACTGTTCTACACTACAGTATCTTCCTCTGTTCTTGTCGACCCAGTCCTCCGTGTACATCATCTCTTCAGAGTTCTATAACTACTACCTCATTAGATCATGTTCTCCTAGTTTTCCTGGAATTCCTAGTCCTATTTGTGGAAACACATAGTTCCTGCTACTGTCTTGGGTTCCTGTGGAGGTTGTTGACACAGACACAGAAAATAGATTCAAAAACACATAGTTCCTGCTACTGTCTTGGGTTCCTGTGGAGAAAGTGCACCTAAGGATCTTCAGTCTTGTTGACATAGACTCGTGAAAATAGATTCAAATGTTAAGTTATGGTCAAGTCAGTCAGTGTCCAGTCAGAGAGGATTTACTTCATCTTCTACCCTTAAAAACTAGTCTAACACACAAACAAGCATTCACACCTGGTCAGAATAGAGTGAACAATTAATCTAACTCAAACTAAGGCCCGGGGGCTGGATGTGGCCGGTTCATCTTTTTAATCCGGCCGGCCCAAACCTTTCCAAATTAAATAATTTATTTAGATTATCATTATACTTCTGCCTTTTTTTTCCTGCAATAGCAACGTTTCCCCAATAGATGGCATAGAAAATGATAAAAACATTCTAGCATTTTAACCTTCATGCATGACTTCACACGAACGCTCCATCTATCTGCTCCTGACCCACCCCCCTGTTCAATTTTAGGACAATTCTGGCCCACGAGTCAAAAAGTTTGCCGACGCCTGATCTAACTGTTTTCAGACTACGGGAGGTAACTGGAGAAACAAACACACACACACAGGCAAGACAAGGGCACTAACCACTTCACCGCTGTGGTGCCGTAGAAAACAATCACTATTTCTGATTTTGTTTCAATATCTTTAAAGTCTCCTCACTGTATTTTTGAAGCTTAATTTAAAACAGGAAAACTTTTAAAAAAAAATGTGATCAACGGTAGACGTTAAGAAACATTTCAGTGTATCACTGAGCACTGAACAAATAACCTAGTTACTGAGACGGTTAGTAAACAAGAGCCGTTGTTTCTTAATAGTCATTCATTTGTTAGTTACCTATTTCTTCAGGTGCGGTCTAGTGTTTACTTTGTGCGGCTAAATGCCGATGACCTAATTTCATGACATGTCAACTAAAAATCAATCAATACTGATGTCCTCATGTAAACCGGTGGAACAGATGTGGGTGAGAACAAATGTGATTGTTGAGACCGAACCTTAGCTACAATTTAGTCAAAAGACTAAGATTAAGACAAAGTCAAAACTAAGTCTGTAAGTTTATATCACCGGACTACACAGTAAACTATATCAAGATGAAAATGAATCTCAGCGTTATTTGGAATGAACTGTTATTTAGTTACCTGGAAAAAGACGAGACGGAGTAAATGGAAGTGTGAAAATAAGAACCGACTGCTTGTAGCCATTGGTAAAAAAACAAAATAAAAAAAAAAACATTTGAAAACACGAGGCTTGGATCGAGTGTTACTACAGCGTTAACAAGGAAATTATTGACAGCAGCTTTAAAATCCTCCTCGGAAATCATGGTCCAGTCTGTGCTGCAACTGAAAGAACACCCACGTCAGTGCAGTGTCTATCACAGATAGAGCATTAAGAATTGTATTTATATTCTATAATATATGGGGTGTATATTAGCTATTCAAAGTAGACTAGAATGAGTTTTACAAAAATCATACATATATATATATATATAATTCAATAATATTGTCAAACAGCGTAACTATGGTTCTGAGTAGATGAAGGCAGGGACACAGCAGGCTGCACCTGTGCTCTGTTGGTCTGAGGTGGAGCTGGGATGGTGATTGGTGGAGAGGGTGAGGAGGAGAGAGGAGGGGAGGGTGACACCATTACTCTCCGGCTCTGCAGGAGTGGATGATGGTGGGGGGGATGGGCAGCAGGGAAAGGCTCGTACAGCTTCAGAATCACCCTCCTCTTCCTCATGACTCTGTGTGTTTTAGCGCCTCAGAGCGAAGAAGAAGAAGAGGACGGAGAGCATGTCGTAGGAACGCTGGTCTGACTGGAGACACTGAGCTTGACTGTAGTTACACAACTGTGATTAAACAGGAGGTTCGTACGGACCAGATGGTCTAGATCATACGTGTCAAACTCAAGGCCCGGGGGCCAAATGCGGCCCACCAAGCCGTTTTGTGTGGCCCGCAGGAGCTTGAAAAGCATTTAGTAAATCCATAACGCAGAGTTTCTTAACCTGAGAAATTAAAAGGTATTATTTTATCATACAGAAATGAACAATATTAACATGTATTAGTCTGTTATGGAGTAGTTACATCTATACCAGCAGTCCCCAGTCTTTTTTGGTTCCAAGGACTGGTCAGCGAGTACCACCTGTTACTACAGATAGATAGCTAGGTGCTGAGCCTTGAAGGATCATTAAATTTTAAATCAAAATAAAATATCTTTTAGACTTTATTCAGTTTGTATTAGTGTCTGAATGACCTTTTATTTTTAAATATTGCCAGACTATCTTTAAATAAAGAAAGTAAATGGATATGGTGGGTTTATTTGAATGAAATTTGTAAATTAGTAAAAATTAAGCACATTTTTTCACTGTGTCCCCCTGTGGCCCGGTACCAAATGACCTATGGACTAGTACTGGTCCGCGGACCGGGGGTTGGGGACCCCTGATCTATACAGTCTACCATTTACAACTGGCCTTTCAAAGGAAACTTTATTGGTGATGTGGCCCAAAATGAGTTCGACACCGCTGGTCTGGATCATACATGTCAAACTCAAGGCCCGGGGGGCCAAATGCGGCCCGCTAAGCCGTTTTGTGTGGCCCGCATGAGCTTATAAAGCATTTAGTAAAGTTCATGCAGCAGAGTTTCTTAACCTAAGAAATTAAATTTTTTTATAATCAATCAAATAATGACCATTACATTTTCAAAATAAAACATCTTTTAGACTTCTATTTTGTTAGTATCAGAGTCTGAATGACCTATTATTTTAAAATTAGATTATCGTTTGCCAGATCATCTTTAAATAAAGAAAGTAAATGGATAAGACTGGACTTTCTTTGAATGAAGTAAATTAGTAAAAATTAAGTATATTTTTTTATTGTGTGCCACTGTGGTACCAAATGACCTATGGTCTGGTACTGGTTTGCGGACCAGAGGTTGGGGACCCCTGCTCTGTACAGTCTTCCATTTACAACCGGACCTTCAAGGGGAACTGTATTGCTGGTGTGGCCCCCGGTGAAAATGAGTTTGACAGCCCTGGT